TTAGCCGTGGAGGCTGGCGATGGCCATGGCCGCCTCGTCGTAGTTGGTCATGGTGACGAAACCGAAGCCCTTGCACTTGTTAGTGGTGAAATCGCGGATGACCTTGACGTTGGTGACTGCCCCGAAGGGCCCGAACAGCTGCCACAGCACGCTCTCGTCCGCCTCGGGCGACAGGTTGTACACGAAGATGCACCAGCCGGCGCCCGCCGCGCCCCCGGACAGGCCCACGCCCGCCAGGCCACTCATGCCATCGATGGCGATGGGCGAGAACCTGGCGATGAGCGACAGGGGACTACTTTGGGGGTCACGCGGGCTCTGCCCTGACCCCCCGGCCTGCCTCCGGCTCGGCTCATCCTGACCCCTGGCCAAGCCTTGGCCTTGGGGCTGTGTGACCTCTGCAGGGTCCTCCGTCTTTGATCCCACCTTAAACTTCAATCTGGGATGGGGGCCAGCAGGTGGCGTGGTGGTTAAGGCGCTGGACTCCCATATGGCCGACCATGGTTCAAGGCCCAGACCTGGCGGCTTGCCTTCTCACTTTCCCTCTCTCTCATTCTTGTGCTCTGTCCCTCTCTGGTCAAATTAAAATAAATACATGAATAAATAAAGTTAAATTTAAAAAAAATTTCAATCTGGGGACCAGGGACCGGTTGGTGGCATAGCACAGCGGTGACGCAGTGCTGTGAGGGTGACCCACATGAGGTCCTGGGTTCAAGTTGGGGGGCCTCCTGGAATGCACCAAGCACAGGGTACCCATGCTCCTGGCTGGGGTTGGAGGGCGATGTCAAGGCCCTGTCGGGGTGCTGTCTCTCCCTTGTCATGGAATACATACATACGGGGACCAGCAGTTGGCGTAATGACTATGTCGCTGGACTCCCACGTAGTTGACCATGGTTCAAGTCCCGGACCCAGTGGCCTAAAATCACGCTGGGTGAGTGTGCGTGCATGCCCAAGATCCCGGGAGGAGAATGGAGGAGAATGGATTGCGGTGTGGCCATCCGTGTGATTTCTCGCTTTCTGTCTCTCTGTCTCTCTCTGTCTGTCTGGAGGGCACACGCGCCCTATAGCAAAAACCTCTAAAAAAAAAAAGATATACATACAATTAAAAAAAAAAACCTGAAAGCCAGCCAGCCAGTGGCGTAGTAGTTAAGCAGCTGGCTCGCAGGTAACTGACCACGTGGTTCAAGTCCCGGAGCCATGGCTTGGAAAATATGGAGGAGAAAAGATAATGA